ACCTGTCCAGGTGAACCTGCCTTCACCCTGAGTCAGCTGGGATAGACTCCAACCCCCCATGACCCTAGTGAGGATCAAGCAGTGTATAGATAATGGCTGGATGGATGTTATAATCAGCAACTGATTAGATTGGAAAGATTGGATCCTTCTTTTGTATGAAACCTAAGGAGTCTGAGTTCACCAGAATCTTCTTTCATCACTGGAGGCAGCAGTTGTGACCGCTCTTTTCTTTTCACTTTTCAGACAAAAAATACTTTCAAACAAAATTCAGTTTCATGAAAAAAAGGAAAACAGGTCACACAGCTGCAGGACGATGATCCATTTGACTGCACACTTGCTGATTCATGCCACTACTGCTCTTGACACAGAATTTAAACAGTAACCATAAACCTCAATTTCTATTCACAGGGTTCACGTGCCACGTTAAGGCGAGTCGATCGTTAAGGGAGGGAAAAAGCTCCACACATGACCTCGGAAAGTAGCTCATCGTTTTCCGTTGCCGTTACAATAAATTCCGATCAACACGGGTCAATATTTGCTTTCTTATGACGTTTCTTCTTGTGCGTAAGTAGGACGACGGTAGGACACAGGATCCTATTCTGTCCTTATTTTTCTACTACTTCCTCATACCAGTTCATGTACGAGGCTTTTTGTAGGAGGTCTCAGTCAATATTAACCAAACCCACGTGGGCTCTTGGAATAGTTTTTAAACAAACACCAGAGTTTCTGATGAGATCTGTTGAAATAAACATCATTAAAAGATCAGACTAAGAAAATAGAAAGATTTTAATAATTAGTGTCGACAAAGTAAATCTATTAAACCAAAACATACAAAAAATATACATTTAGAAAAACATCAAAAGTTAAATAGTTCAACATGATGGAATATAAAAATGGAAAAAGTGGTGTTTCTGGCAGAATTCCTCCAAAACAGGCGGATGTGTGTCATCATTCACTGAGACTGATTGAGTGAGGGAACGCCCATATGGTGCATTAATCACTTGAAGCAGATGATCTCCTGAGTGGCCAGTCTGATGAGCTGGTTGAAGTCAAACTGGATGTACTTCCTCCAGTAGCGTCTGTCTTTGCCGTAGGTTTGAGCAGGATAGCAAGGACTGCCTGGAACACAGGGAGTAAGACACAAGTGCAGCCGTGAAACACTAAACGCTTGAAATAAAACAACACAAGGTGCTTGAACACATCATATAAANTTGGTTGTCTGTCTCTAAGTGTAGCCCTGTGATAGACTGGTTACCTGTCCAGGTGAACCTGCCTTCACCCTGAGTCAGCTGGGATAGACTCCAGTCCCCAACGACCCTAGTGAGGATTAAGCGGTTTGTAGATAATGGCTGGATGGATGAATTGAATTGTCATTGTTGTTATTATTTCGTTGCATCTGATGTAAAGTTTAAACTCATACATATATTTGTTTTTCTTTAAAAAATGACTCCAATCACTTCCAAAACTGCTGCTGTGATGTAAGCGTTTCATGATGGACACCCAGAGGCGTAGCTGCCAAGGTAATAAATGGCCAATAGAAACATCTGCAAACAGAAAGAGTATTATCAGCAGCCTGGAGTCTTCACAGACTTCTGAGAGATGATGGGCGTTCTCTCTGTAATGAGCACTGATGGCACAGAAAACTCTTCAACCTTTCTGATAACGTAATGCTCCACATGAATCACTCCCATGGCTGCACCGTCTTTCAACCTGGGAGTCCTGCAAAAAAATTGTTCTGCAATACAAAGTACATTTCTCAACTTTTCCCCTTTTCATCGTGGTGTAATGAACAGTTTCACCACTTGAGACCTTTGACAACTTTTTAAATTAAACAATCAGGCAGAGAAACATCACTCTAGACAAACTGCTCATAGCTGGTACAGTCATCCTCAGATGTATTCATACCCTCCCATGAAAGCAGGAAAAAAGAACAGCTGAAATAAGTTGAAACTGACAAAAGTTTTAAAAAAAAAAAAAAATCTAAATTAATGAAAATCATGACATTGCTTTTGAATTGTGACAGGTATTTGGATTTCACTGCTCATCAACAAAGTGCTCTAATTTGTCCGGGATAGTGTATTTATTTATTTATTTTAATTATTCTTTTCAACCACAATTCTAAGGCAATGTCTCATTTCACTAACTTATAATTTAGCACATTTTTATTTATTATTACTTTTTTCAATTTCTAATTATTTGAGTGACTATTGTGAATTTTACCTTTTCTTTAATGGAAGCATATGAATACATTTGAGGGCGACTGTAGATATAAACAACCTTTAGTGAGGAGTAAAAGTGAGAATTGCTTTATTCGATATAAAGAGAGAACCAAGTGAAGGCATTGCAGTAATTTCCTTTCAGCTTGAATTCTGCAAATGCCTAAACGATGCAGGGTGTGACAAAAACACACTTTTAAGGAGGATGATAGTGACGTTAATCCCTCTAGTCTCGATTAGCTCACTTGGTAGGTGCTGATCTATCAATGATTACAGACAAAAAGGGGACGTGGGGTGAGCTATGCTTTGCCAAACCCTTTTTTTTTTAACATTTCAGTTTATATTCTGGAACAACCAAAACAACAGTCTCGGTCAAGGATGAGTATTCCTTGTTGACGGGTGCATGGATCTTTATGGTCTGACTTTATTTTCCTTTCTCAGGAAAAAATGTCACGTTGACCCAGTTGTTTTATTGCAGCTCCACCCGAAGACATGCGCAGAGCACGTCCAGTGATACTCACTGGGTGTGGCAGTTAGAAAATAACCCAATACCTCACTCTGTATCGTTGCAGCATCCCAGTTTAAACTACAACATCTCCACATGGACGGATTGTTCGATGGTGGGACGACAGACGTGATAGCTGAGCCGAGTTAAGGTTTGACAGCATCTCTCAGCCGGGAGGCATCCCTACAGCTGTCTGTCGCAGCTGACAGTCAGTCAGACGCCCCGATATACGCAGCATGCACTCACTGGATGGATTTCTTCACAGTTTATGACATGTTGCCAAAGTTGAAGCTGATATGTAAAAGACAGAGTTCACTGTTAAAACTCAATGGAGGGACCAAAGGCTGACTGGCCGTGCAGCAGCTGACTTTAATCCTCTGTGTTCCTTGTGCCTCATTCTAAAGTGCATGTTTTAGCTTGTAACCGAGACACGTTGCCAACATGACATTTATCTCTCTGGTTATCGATTTAACCTCTAAAAACTCCCATAAAATAAGAATTTCCTGCTTTAAAATGGCTCTGATGTAACTCCACAGTGTTGCTTGCACTAGAATGTATGGATCTATGAAGTGCCCCTCCTCTTTCCTCGCTCACTCACTGCAGCCCAAGCACACCAGCTCACCTGCAACTCTGCAAAAGCTACTCTCCGCTGCACAATGACAAGCTGTAATATTCAAGTATTTCAGCCATACATGTTAAAATCAGGGCTGCAAGGTGGAA